TTTTAACCAAACTTGGTACAAAGCATCCTTGGGTGAAGGGGAGTTTAAATTGTAAAAATAAAGGGCCAAGTCCCCTTACAAGGGGAGATAATCAAAAAAAGACAAAAATAAGGTGGGGTTACTAAAACATCTTCTTCTCAGGAACCACTGGGCCAGGAAAGCTGAAACTTATGTGGAAGCATCCTTGGGTAGCGTAGATATTAAATTGTTAAAATCATGACCCCCGTGGGTAGGGCGGGGCTACAAAAGGGAATCCAATTTTTACGTAGAAGTATATAGAAGAAATCTTTAAAAATCTTCTTATCAAGAACCACTGGGCCAGGAAAGCTGAAACTTATGTGGAAGCATCCTTGGGTAGTGTAGATATTAAATTGTTAAAATCATGACCCCCGGGGGTAGGGCGGGGCCACAATAGGGAATCAAAGTTTTACATAGAAATATATAGAACAAATCTTTAAAAATCTTCTCAAGAACCACTGGGCCAGGAAAGCTGAAACTTATGTGGAAGCATCCTTGGGTAGTGTAGATTATAAAATTGTTAAAATCATTACCCCTGGGGGTAGGGCGGGGCCACAATAGGGAATCCAAGTTTTCCATAGAAATATATAGAACAAATCTTTAAAAATCTTCTTCTCAAGAACCACTGGGCCAGGAAAGCTGAAACTTATGTGGATGCATCCTTGGGTAGTGTAGATATTAAATTGTTAAAATCATGACCCCCGGGGGTAGGGCGGGGCTACAATAGGGAATCCAAGTTTTACATAGAAATATATAGAACAAATCTTTAAGAATCTTCTTCTCAAGAACCACTAAGCCAGGAAAGCTGAAACTTATGTGGAAGCATCCTTGGGTAGTGTAGAATCTATGTTGTTTAATTCATGACCTCCGGGATTAGAGTGGGGCCACAATAGGGAATCACAGTTTTTCATAGAAATATATAGAAGAAATCTTTAAAAATCTTCTTCTCAAGAACCACTGGACCAGGAAAGCTGAAACTTATGTGGAAGCATCCTTGGGTAGTGTAAATATAAAATTGTTAAAATCATGACCCCCGGGGGTAGGGTGGGGCAACAATAGGGAATCAAAGTTTTACATAGAAATATATAGAACAAATCTTTAAAAATCTTCTCAAGAACCTCTGGGCCAGGAAAGCTGAAACTTATTTGGAAGCATCCTTGGGTAGTGTAGTTATTAAATTATTAAAATCATGACCCCCGGGAGTAGGGCGAGGCCACAATAGGGAATCCAAGTTTTACATAGAAATATATAGAAAAAAATCTTTAAAAATCTTCTTTTCAAGAACCACTGGGCCAGGAAAGCTGAAACTTATGTGAAAGCATCCTTAGGTATTGTAGATATTAAATTGTTAAAATCATGACCCCCGGGGGTAGGGCAGGGCCACAATAGGGAATCCAAGTTTTACCGAGAAATATATAGAACAAATCTTTAAAAATCTTCTTGTGAAGAACCACTGGGCCAGGAAAGCTGAAACTTATGTGGAAGCATCCTTGGGTAGTGTAGATTCTAAAGTTTTTAAATAAAAAAGGGAAGGGGGTTGTTGGGCATGATTGGTATAGCAAGAGGGGGAATCTGGTAAAGATCTGCATCACCCAAGTTGCTCAGGTGAGCGATGTGGCCCATGGGCCTCTTGTTTACTTGTTTGCCCAATTTATTCAACATTGCGTACAAAGTTTTTGAAAAAATATAATTGGTATAGGCCATCTATATACAAATTAATACAGTTGCTAAGTGTGAATAATGTAAAAGAACTATGTAATTTAGGGAAGTTTATCTATAAAGCCCTCGCGCTTAGAAATGATTTAATAATGTAATGGTGTGTCATTTGCTGATTTGTTACTCCTATATTATTACATGATTGATATGATTATATCTGATTATTACATGTCATTCTCCATATGAACTGTAAAGACCGTTAAAATGAGTTTATATGTATATATGTGCATGTTTCATAAGGGTTTACAAGACTGACCAGCCATTATTTTCTTTATTTCTTTTGTTTATATTGTATAAATGCTATAAGACGTATGTCTTTTGCAATAAAGAATTGAGTTGTATTCATGGTCAAAAACAAAAACAGCTTCACCGTTAACCCACCGCATTCTCCCTGATGGTCGCTGTTCTTCTGTTAATTCTTGATCCCAATCTTCTTATCGAGGGATTTCGTTGTCTCTTATAATTAAACTTTGTCTGATTGCCATTCTTCCTCTGTTTTCCAAAAACAATATTATCATCCCCTTTGAAAACACATTTATATTATTAATATAAAAAATTTATGCTGACATAAACGTTCTATATTTAGAAAATGATAAAGCAAACAGCTTTGCAAAACCATGCGCTGTGCACGTTTGGACTATTGAGTACACATACTTAATCATCTTTATCATCATCGTAAGATTACACCACCATTAGGTAATCAAATCTACCACAAGGCCTTTTTTTGCATCATACATCTATAATTCAATCATCCACCATCTTAGTTCTATAAATAAATATGATTCATATTGCTTTAACCTACGTCATACATCTAAAATTAGACCAACCGCTGTGATGCTTATCATACGAATAATTTTTGGGATGAACTAACCAGTACCTGAAAAAGGTTTGTTTACTATTTTCGCCCAGGCGGCACATCATTTAACAAGCATTTTAATGTGAAGTTTGGCCTACTACATTGTAAGTTTTGACTTTGTTTTTATATTTTTGCATTAAAATTATTCTCATGTGAATGTTTATTAGCATCAGGTAAATGCACATATTGTTAACTGTCAAAATTGAAATTGCTGGAATTCACCTAATTTTATGGGCGTTGTATGCAGATATTTTGCTCACGTGGTATATTTGATAAAGCTAATTTCTTTTGAGTGTCAGCTCATATCATTGTATTTGATCCTTTTAACATTTATAAGTGTTTCATACATACGCAGTATTTTTTATCATGCAGTATTATGATTATAAATGCAACTGAACTGTGTAAATGACATTGTTTATTCAGATTCTTTGTTCTATCCGTCTCCTCTTTCTCGAATTTCAGAGTGTTGTAGTGTTGTAGATTTCTCGACCATCACTCCCTATCAGGTACTTGAATAACTGCAGTTTAGATGCTTCTTCATCTTTCACCGTCAGAGAAATGTAGAGACTGAATTCCTATTTCCATTTACGCCAATCTTCAGCGAGATTCTTGCTGTTGAATTTTATTTTCCCTGGCAGCGCAAGTCTTTCAGCGAACGCCATTTTGTAGAAAGCACGTGGGAAACACAGGTCACAAATAGAAAGTTAATTTCAGGATCAAAAGCAGTATAATTCCCACAGCAGCACTTCTTACACCATGTTTCACTTCCTTAAAGTCTATTTCAATAGAAACAGCAGTGTTTAAAATGATAAAACACCGTACAACTTGCAACTTTGGTGCATGATCTTAAAACACAACAACAGCTCAGTTAACGGTATAACAAACTGATTTATTTTTGAAAATCTGATTAAACAAAACGAAAGTAAATTAATATTTAAGAATAAAATTAATAGAGTTCACGCAAAACGTGTTACGCCATTAACCTAAGAAGATCATCGTAGGGAATGTAACATTTTTGCTTGCAACATCACAGAAATAAGAGTGAAGTATAACCAGTCACAGAATCAAAGACGGGGTGGATAAGAGGATAAGGTATATCAGATTATATATCTAATGGCAAGCAGAATTAAGCGTTAAAATATATTTTGTGCCAATGGATTAAAATTCAACTTGCATATGCATTAAGAAAATGCAGTATATTTTCATATTCATAATTGTTGCAAGCAGATATTCCGTTTAGAATTTCGAAAATGGGAATTTCCCTTACCGTCTGTGAAGTTAAAGCTCTACTGAAGTCTTTTAAATGCCAAATCGGAGTCGGCCATATTAGTTTTCGATAACCCTACTATCTGCTAACCAGGTATCGCCCAATTGTGTGGTCACGCACGACTGATTTAGTCAGTCGGTTTCATTCGAATAGGATATTCGCCAAGGCCTATTTGTAAAATTTTTATTCAATAAAATAAAAAGGCAGAGGTATCTCAACTTCTGAGATAAAATAAATGCTTTTGAAAGCATCTTTGGTGTTGAGCAACGCTGATAACACGCAGTTACATAGTCACAGAAGTTGGTACTTGTGCAGCTGCAGTCCACGTGCACTAAAAAGCTGAAGTTCCTTGTTGTAAATATCCAAGACGAAGCCGAAGGTAAGATAAACGAGCATAAATGCAAAAGCACCTTAAAAATAAATTACGAACCAAAAAATATATTTACTTTGTAAAAAGTTTGCAATGTGACAGGACCTCAGCTGACCGACCGACGACACGTCTGCTCTCAGCACGATTTGACCATGTTATGTCTTGCCCATGCTCAAAGGAAAGACTGGAGTGCAAATGAAAGTAGATCCAAAAGCACATGTGTAAACACAGGGGAGCAATTATTATAGCTGTTCACGAATAAAAGTGACTATAGATAAGTACAATTGTTGGCGAATTGTAAAATTAAATCGTTTTATATTGCTTTAGAGTGTCAGCAGTATGAACATCGATATTTCGGACAATGCCAGTTATTGTGACGATAATGAAACCGAGCACCTGGAGCACAACATCATGAACATGTACATGTACTAACTAGAATGCAAAAATGAAAAGTATTAAAGCATCTGTGCACTGCTAATCTTCAAGAAAGTAATATTCATTTATAACTCATTTATTTCCTTTAGTGCAAGTGAGATAAGTGCATTGCAGACTTGACCAGCTGCATATAATTTATTTACACATGCTGTATTTGCATTCAGTTATGGCCCAACACGATCTATTTTACCATTGTCACAAAATTACGGTAGTTTGGGGATTTGTTTGTCAGTTTTTTTTTTTTACAACTGAAGAAATCAGAATAATTAATTATTTGATTTGTCTTATATATGAATATTGCAGTAATATCAATCTGTCATTATCTTTTAAACACACAGGACACTAATCAAATAAATGAGATCATGAACGAGATGCTATGTTTGGATCTTCTGGTTATAAGGATGGTGATAATGGTGAAAGTGGTGAAGAAGAGGCGGCTGGCTAGGGGGCGATGAATATAAGATGTGGAAAGATATATCAAGGTTTGTGAATGGCACACGCTGATTGATTTAATGATTGATTGATTGTATATTTTTTAACGACCGTCTCAAAAATTGTCACTCATATGGAGACGCCACCACTTGCTGGTGGAGGGTTGCAAATTTTGTCCTAGGTCTATTGAGCAGGGAGGGATCTTTTTCATGCAGCACCTACTGCGATACAGGACCTCAGTTTATACGATCTCATCCAAAGGACCGGTATCCACGTCCTACAGTGGGATTCGAACCCACCACGTAAGGATTGACTCCTTAGTTCACAACTCTAGAGCAGATGCTCTAACCACTTTGCGAAGTGGGAGACACACTGTAATGAAGAATAAGTAACAAATTGAGTAGTTTTTATAACTATAAAATCAGCATCTGCTGTAAATAGAGTAAAACAAAGGTAGGAAAGATATGTTACATTAATTTTTACCTCCCAATAAAAAATCATATAAAATGATGGTATAGAATGTCACAAACATTATGACTCTATTTCCATTTCTATTTGTTTTCTCTGTGATATTTCTTTGAGAGTTATGTGAGTTGATTTCTTGATAATTCTACTGGAATGAAAATTTCTCTAAGTTAAAGATCAGCAGCTAAGAAGGCTTCATTTGTGTGTAACCTCAGTGGACAGGAACTTTTGAAATTGAGAGAGAGGATCCATGTGATTTAAATCTATTAGTCTAGAAAAACATTGTATTCAAATTATATGCACATTTCTAATATTGTTGATGTCCTAGCATACCCAACAAGCTAAAAAGTGATTCCCTAAATTTATGTTATTACTACATTAGTATGCAATTTACTACACAGTGGTATAATTTCAAAATTTTACTGTCTTTTGATATGATTAAAATGTCTCAAATTCTATGGAACTGGATGCAGTGATTTGTTTAATACCCTTAAAATTTAAATATTCATGTAAATTACAGTAGGGTTTTTTGTTTGTCTTGATTTACAGATTGCTCCTGTAGCATGTTACATGAAAAATTTAAAACTTAAACAATTTGAATATTTTCTCTTGTATATTTTCTTTCAAGGAATACTGATGAATATGACAAGATGGAGGTGGATGCCCTTTCAGATAGATGATTTATTGTTGGAGAGAGGGAAATATTGGACCTGCTTAAAAGGAGCATGTTTCAAAGAGTGAGGAGGACCAATACTCCGCTCTTCGTTGTTGAGGCAGAGAAAATAGCTGCAGGAGTAAAGTATTAATTTACCTGCACAGTACATATGTAAGTACATGTATTGCATACCAGTTTGAAGCTTATTTCTAAAGTTTAACATGTTTAATAATGAAAAGAACATTCAGAGTAAGATGTTTTGAGGATAACTTCAATCCTACATTTCATTAACATATCCATTGCATTGCTGTAATGAAGTAAATTACTTTAAAGAAATGATTAATAGGTAGTGTAATTCGTGATTTTAAGAAAAGGATTTGTTAATGAATAGTAAAGAAAAATGACATGCTACATTATAAACCATCAAAATTATAAGGAGACAGAATGAAAATAAATGTATCAAATAATGTCTTTTAGAAGCTTTGAAAAAAAAAAAAGAAATTTTAGGCCTTACAAAGAGAGAAGCATAATTGAATATAAGAAATAATAAAAAATATAAATATACAGTTTTTCATGTATTACTTAACAGAATTCCACATTTACAATTTCATTTTTATTGCAGGAGGGTCATGTAGGAAAATGGATGTCTACACAATTTTATGGAGAGAGAAATGCTGTTGCAATCCTGCTGCAACTTCTGGTCCTTCATTTTGGGGTATCATGGGATCAGTTTACCGTTGGTGCCAAATTTATTGATCTTGCATAAGGATAAGCAAGACAATTCTACAGAATGCAACTTCAGTACAGAGTATGTTTTACCAGTAATGCTTGAAAAGATTTCTCTACATTTTTAAGAAAAGAAAACCTATAATTTATTGCAATATTTTCTGCATTAATTTTTGATAAAAGTTTGTCTTCATGTTGGGCATATTATATTTGGAAAAAAATTATTCAGAAGCAAGAATAAAGTTTTCAAGTCTCATGTAAAGTCAATGCAATGATATGAATATAAATCAAGGACAAAATAAAAAAATACAGTAATTTCATACATTTTATATGGTATTACACGACTGTGCAATTTTAGGAATTCGGTTGCTGTGCAGTAGGTTTACCAGCAGAAACAGAGAAACAAAAAACCAAGCAGTGGATTGTGTATAAAAAGAAGTTTATTAAAGAATACACATATATTGCAGGTATTAAATTTTATGCAATATACATTTAAATTATTTATAGTTATTTCAATTTAGTAACCTTTATAATGTTTAGAAACTTTAATAAATTATATACAGATAAAAATATATGCACATATTTTTTTCTAAGGGTGTAAATTTATATCATTTGCTTTACATTCAATTTTACTGATCACTTGTACTTTATTACTTTATTTGATAATTTTTTTGTTCATGAAGGTATTAAGGGAAATGTTCTAAATTTACTTTTAGAACTTGAAGGAAGTATATTGGAGTCCTTGTGCATGTAATACAAGGAGTAAGAATTCCAAAGATCATGACAGCATCTCTGCCATTTTATCAGGCCTCCTAAATCCTGGATCAAGGCTTTTACTTTCAGAAATGAAAAAAAGAAAAAAGTGTGGTAAGTTTTAAAAAACTAATGTTTTTTTTTTGAGAAGCAGAATTGGTTGAATGATAGATAGCATCTATATGCTCCATCTAGTTTAGGGAAACCTGTTTCTAACTGCCACTTTCACACAAGAAGGCACTGGAACTCTCCTTCCTGTTTCAAGAGGACCATGCTGCCACAAAACAAAATAACATTTTCCTGGTTCCTGAAGGCAAACAGGGGTTCAAGATTATTATGAAAATTTTTGTTCAGAATGATGAACTTCATGCCACAAACACAGATTTCTAAACTCTGGTTTTTTTGGATAATGCATGGAGATTGATTAATTGTATACTGTTAAACGTCCCTCTCAAGAATATTTCACTGATATGGAGACATATGCATGGAGATTGACAACAGCATAGGATGCGAGGATCTTAAAATACTTTTCATTCTCCATAGAAACACCATGCAATTTCTGAACTGGAGTTTTCATACTGTAATGAACCTTGGATATAAGATATAATGAAATCTGTTTCTGCCTCTACACTTTGTTCAAAACTTGATGCTTTTCATCCACTTGTGTTAAAATATCCTACAAGTATAGTAATAAAAATATTTACTAGAATGAACAAAAGAGAAAAATATGAGATAAAATGTTATTAATTTTTTAATAATACATTAAAATGAAAATGATTTTGTTGTAATTTTAATTCTTTAACCGTTGAAAAAAAAGTTAATTGAAGCAGCATTAAAACTTGATAATATAATTTATTTTCAGTACAGTACATACTTGCAATGTTGAATTTAACTGACTGCCATCTCTGTTTTCAGCTGCTGCCACTAGAAAAATGATTTCTGCTTGGAAGTGTCCCCTGGTGACATTGATTGTGCTCTGGCTAGCATAAGGATAGTAATGAGCTGATAACAGTAATTGTGAGATCTCCGAAATACATGTATACCAATTCTGATGTAGGAGGACCTTATCGTAGAGGAAGAGTGAACATCATAACATTACCAGATAGCCAACCTATGTATGGGATAATAATCCATCAAACTTCCTGCGTACTCGTGTTTTATTTGAATGGACAGCAAGGATTTTTTTGCAGTTGGTACATGTACAACCTTTTCTCTCGCATGACAGGTTTAACATTTGCCTTTTTCACAGGGAAAGTACAAGTAAATGTTAAATTTCATATTACATGTGCTTTATTTCTCATAGGATCTTTCAACTTTTAAAATTTATATATAGTACTTTTATTTTCATTAATATATTACATTTTTAATAACTTTCAATTTGTCAACACCATTGAAATATATATGTATTCCTTGTTTAAATTTTGGTAACATATGAAAAATCTTATATTTTCAATGGTTTGGAATTATTTGTACATATATATGTATATGAAATCAATTTGTAAACAAATGTGCATGAAAATTTTATTTTGTTTCTGTTTTCAACTTTTGGAATTGAATTGTGAATAATTTTTACGAAGCAACAGTATCACAATTTTATTCATTTTAGTGGACAATTTTCAATTTTTGTCAGTTACATGTACTTTAATAATAATCAATTTACAATTTATATGGAATTGTTTATGTACCGATAAAAAAACTGCTTTGAAATATTGTGAGCAACATTTATGGCTGAGAATATTTTTCATTGCCAAACAAGACACATTGTTTGATTCTTTGATACATTTCTACTTCTGTAAAAAGATGGAGAGAAAAGAAAAGAATGAATAAAATACATTTTATTCATTAACTTGTTTTTTAATTACTGGAATAAAACTATATTCTCACATTCAGGAAAAATTCCTATGAAGATTTGACTCATCAAAGATCTTTAGGAGCAGGGTTAATTGCACATATAATTTTCCAAACCTACTGAATATGTGCAAATAATTACTTTTCCTTTCAAAATGGTAATTCTACCTAAACAGTCATAACTTCTATGAAAGAGGCATATGTGTGATAGAAAATTAAGAAATGTTATCATTTTTTTGGTTCTAGGCACACCTGTACATTCCAGAGTAAAAATAAAGAAAGGAATAGTTATAGTATCAAAATTATTTATTGAAAAAATATTAAACCTTTGTAAAATCATTTAAATGGCTGTATTTTTAGCCATCAATGAGAATGTATACCCCTATACCCCCCCCCCCCCCTTTTTCAGGTCTACAGGCCTAACCCCTTTATGTTTTAACTGTTCATATGCAATCCAGAAATGTTTTTTAAATATAGGGAATTATACCTCGTTTTCTTGTGAAGTTTATTTGCAAGTACGTTTTTCACGAAAAAATTGGATTTCTTCTTTCATTTTACAAATAATTACCGCTCCCCGATCAATGCTTTGAAACGCTTTACTGTAAGCGAACGTTTCATTGACCTAGAGTTTGCATGCATGACCATGCGGTGTCGGTCACGTTCGGTAGTGAGCACTCTTATTTGTTGTGCTTGTGTTTTTGTGCATATATTTACTGCAACTCTCTTATATTGGATGCTATAACGATGTGTTCTGGTCTTTTTGCAACTTTACTTATTGCAAAATTCGTGATAGGTTTGTTACCGCTATTTACAGTCACCGGCACTTCGAGGTACACGGTGTACTTGGTCACTGGACATATGCATTAGCGCGTGACGATAATTTGGGTGTATACATAGTTAGAGAGTAACAATAGAACACGAACTAATATGGCGTCCATCGATGAAATATGGCGGCTATTTGTTTACACTCTCGGCTATTTTATGATGTCAGTAGAGCTTTAATTTCAACTGCATTTACTTTTCAGTGCCATAATTATGTTATGTGTTGAAGAGATAAATCGGATATGAAAATTAAACTAGGTCTGAAATGAAGATTCAAAGTGCATGTATCAGTACTTTCACATCAAAGCAAGCAGCCTGGATCGTTCATTCTACTGTTTGTGCTTCTTCTTTGTTCTATAAATATATTTTTTTCTGTAGTAATATTTCATGTTTTTTTTTTCTGAATGACAATTTATATAAATGATATTAAGAGTACAATAAAATTTCTTGGTACCTGTATATATACTCTTCAAAATAAGAAACGCATCGTAGAATTTAAGTGACACATTGAACATAAAGATTATTTAGTAAAATGATGCATTGATAAAACAGAAGTGTGATACGCAACAGGAATACTATCTACGTAAATGTCATAATTGCTCAACAATTCGTCCTTGCATAACATTCAGGCAATTTGCATTATCCTCGGAAGTGATGCTGTGCTGCTGATGTCACCCGTAGTCTAAGATATTTTTGGCGAACATTGGGTGTTCAATGTTAATGGTTTATGTTTTATAGGTTAGATATGGTCTGTGTGTAACATTTAAACCTCTTGCAAATGTAGATTGCGGTACCCCTGCTTCCAGTCGCCCATTTTCCTTTTTGTGCCACGCAACATTCCGATGCAGCATTTTTAGGAAACGTCATTTCTCAGATAAAACAAGATTTAAAATATCGAGAACCCCCACTTTTGATAACCCCTGTATACCTGAAGGAATTGCATCGAAATTCAACAAATGAAAATTGAGAAAAAAAAAATTGGGGGGAAATCTTGAAAAATCACGTCTTTATGTCTGTGAGACTTGTGGTCAGTTGTGGAATAACTGTAAAGTTAACAATTGCATTAAAAATCATTTATTTCACTCGGATACATCGTATCCATACAAAAATAAAAGGTATGACAAAACTATCACAAATTTTCAGGGCATTGTGCCTACTATGCGTTTCTTTTTTTGAAGAGTATATGTATACTGTTAAGTTTGTTTTCCAATGTTCAATTCAAAATACAGTAATTTTCATTATTTTCATTTTCTTTAAGTATTTAAATCTCTGTTGACTGGTCAGAATCAGATCAGATCATAACAATTAATTTTAAGGATGGCATGAGCTTTTTTAAAAAAAAAAGTTTTGTCTTCAAAGAAAAAAAGTTTGAAAACATTCTTATTTTTTCTATTTATTCCCAAGATAGTACAGCCCCCCCCCCCGCCCCCATTCCCTAAGCACACAAACATAAATTATATCCAAACAAAAATCAAATATTAGTCCCTTCATTTATTTCTCAAAAAAGCTGCATAGACAATTCTTATTTATACATGTATATTTTTTTAACTATAGTGAAATTGTCGTCTTCGGATCAATCATTAAAAATGTGCCTTTTAGCCTTTTGTGCACTGATGCTTCAATTGCTAGAGTTGCAGTTGTGAACCCACAAACCATCAACCACTAATACCCCTCTGTACCACCTTCAACACCTATATCATGTCAGGATATGCTACACCATCTGTTGCACACTTGAATCCAACATTCAAAGACCAGAGTGTCACATACTCCACCTTCCTTGGCAACAACCCTTAGCACAATCAGTCCTAGCCCTCCCAGCACTGTGAGATCTACTAAGCCCCTAATGAGTCCCGAGGGAGCAGTTCAAAAAGTGAAATAGGAGGTGCACGATGGCAATATGTAATAAATATTTTGTGATAGTTTCATCAATTTCATTTAGTTGTATGAGAGGAGTTGCAAATAAGGGTTGGGTACCCGAAGCATAACAGACGGATGGGTTGACAGACGGACATACTGATTACTATATACCCTCCCATTTTTCAAGCCGGGGGCATAAAATATTGAATTAAATGTAATAAACTTAAGTTCTCTTGATATTACTAAACACTGGATATAATTGAAACAAATCTGTGTTTCTCACCCCAGTTCCTTTGTGTCTCCTTCGTGATACGATGATCAAATTTGGACTAACAATTATTGCTTTGAGAAAGCTTATATGAAATTATACAATGTTTGCTTGTTAAAATAAGTAATTGTAGCAATACATCCCCCTAAGGAAAAATTTATAAATTATTCCCAACCATTGACACTGCAAATCTTTGAATTTGCTTGCTAATAATTTCCATGACTGGAGTAACAATATTATTACATTCCCAAAGTACTCATTTTAAGAAATGTATAGAAAAATGTAGATAAAGATATTACTTCTATATTCTTTTTTTCTATAAAGATTGGAGACATCTCAGCAACTTCAATTACACGGAGGGAGATCCAACTTGCTATGGATGGGTGCTCGGTCGTGCC